GGGCACATTTAAGTGCTCGTCCCTTTTATACAGAGGAAATAATGGTCCTTTCCCCCCGCCCCGCCCCCAAGGCACCTGCTTTGGATGGCCTTATCTTTCCCGTCATCACTTGCCAGTGACTCAGTCCTCCGTGGCTCAGGAAATGGCGGAGGAGCCCCAGATCTGTGTGCTTCCTTCTCCCGTTCCCTCGTGCACACAACTCCCTCGTTTCCAGTTCGCAAGGAAGCACTGCTGGCTGTGGTGTTAAGAGTACCCCAAGATCGGCCTTTGTGCTTTGAAAGGGGCTTATGATCGTTTCTTTAAGCAGGGAAGTGCGAAACCATGTGGGCTGCCCGTTCAAGTGGCAGAGCCAATTGTGTGGCGTTGAACCTGAAATTTGGCCAATTAGGGCCGAAACGCATCAGGTCACAGTAGTTCCCACCTGTTTATATCGTATTTTTATTCTGCAACGAGGCTACGGTTGGGCCCATAAATGTTTTTAACCCTTTGACAATAAATTCATGTATTTTTTTATATTACTTAGATTATAAAAAGGTAAAGGTTCCCTTGCTTGAAAGCCAGTCGAGTCCGACTCTAGGGTTGCGGTGCTCATCTCCGTTTCAAAGCCGAAGAGCCAGCGCTGTCCGAAGACGTTTCCGTGGTCATGTGGCCGGCATGACTAAACACCAAGGCACACGGAACGCTGTTCCCTTCTCACTGAAGTGGTACCTATTTATCTACTTGCAATTTCTTGCTTTCGAACTGCTAGGTTGGCAGGAGCTGGATCTAGAGAGTGGAGCTCACTCCGTCACGCGGCACCCGGGTCTCGGACTGCTGAACTACCGACCTTCCACAGCCTGCAGTTCAGCGTCTTAACCACTTGAGCCACCACAGCTCCACTTAGATTATACATATTGTTTTTTAGTAATTGGGCTCCATACTTGGTTTATAACTAACCTTTATGGCATGATGGAAAAGGCCTGGGCTCTGGCTGATGCCAGATGGGCCGCCCTAACAGATGACCATAGTTTGCGCACAGGGACGCATATGGAAGGAAACAGTCCTTCTATGGACGGATGCTCATTCCTCCGGGAAACAAAGTTTCCTATAGCGCCAGGTTCCATCTTAGGCATGTCTTGAGTAGAAATAAAGCATTTTTTAACTGCTGCGGATGTGTCTGGGGTTATTAGTAAGTGACTTTAAAAAACAACAACACCCGCCCCCTCCAAATGTCTGATTACTTTGTGGAATGATTAAGATTAAGACAAATCAGATACTCCAGAGCAGAGCAAGGCAGCACCTTTGTGCCGCTGTGGGAAGCAGGGCAAGGAAGGAAGAGAAGGCAGCAGTGCCTCTAGGTCTGCTTACTTGGGAGTAGGTGTCACCAAAGTCAGTGGGGTTTCTTGTTTACAAAAAAAGGGGGAAAGGATAGAAACAATTCCGAGTGCCACTCGGTCGGCGCTCTGCCAGCTGGGCTGTGCACCGCCTTTCCCAGGCTGGATCCATCGGCATCACTGAAAGACACATCGACAGCGGAATACATATAGAAGAAGGCAAAGGACACTGAAAGCACTGCAGGCGGTATCAGTGTGGCTGGTGTGTAATTATTATTAACGGGACCTGGCCGAGGTTCTGTCCTGGAAACTCCCCTGTCTCGTCTTTATCAGTCTTGTCCCCTGTAACCTGTACAACTCAAGCTCAGGTGACTTCTGAAATTTGCACCCTACTGAAAGGATGCTGAGCTGATACAGGTGCTTGTATGTTTCCACCTATCTATGTGCACACAGGGCAAGCAGTGGCTCCCTGGGGCCCTTTCAGAATGGGAGGCCAAAGCTTAACCCCTTCACTCCCTTGTGTTGCTGTCCTGGTCCACACAGGACACCCCCCTCCCCACGCCCCCCGCTTCGTATGGAGCTAAGCCTGTGGGTTTATCTTGCTTAGTTCTGCATGCTTTTTGCTTGTGGTGTTTAAATTGCCTTAGCTTAAGCCTTAAATTGGCACTTGACAAAGACTAGATGCTGTGTTAAGTTGCAGGGCTCAGGGTGACTTCTCCTTGGAATGGAATGATGCTTGATTTCGTGTGAATGTCAGATCAATATACCTGGCTGTAATTAAGGCTGTAATTATTGCTGTCCTTAGTGGGTTTCCTATTTAAGTATAAGGAACCCCCGAGAATTGCAGTCGTGAAACTCCCAGTCCTAAATCGAATAACTTTGTGTCTGTGGTGGTGCAGAATTTGCTCTTTCATTACCATCGCAATGTTTTATGTGTTTTTTTAAAAAAATATTGGACTCTATCATGTAGTGAGGCTGACCACTGATTCAGCAATAAACTTTGTCTTTATTTAAATAATACTTCTTTGCTAACTTAGGAGCTGCGGTGGCTCAAGTGCTTAAGATGCTGAACTGCAGGCTGTGGAAGGTCGGTAGTTCAGCAGTTCGAGACCCGAGTGTGCCGCATGACGGAGTGAGCTCCCGTCTCTAGTTCCAGCTCCTGCCAACCTAGCAGTTCGAAAGCAAGAAATTGCAAGTAGATAAATAGGTACCGCTTCGATGGGAAGGGAACAGCGTTCCGTGCGCC